CGCCCCGTCACCAGCACACTTACCCCTCCCCCCACAGGGAAGTGGAAAGCCTGCGCCGCCGCCCACCTGATCTGCTGAGCCACGTAATCCGCCGCCTGCCGCGCCAGCGCCGCCTTGAGCACCCTCAACTCGTCGCCGCCCGCGGCCGCGCCCCAGCCGTCCTCGGGGGGCGGCGCGACCAACTCGTGGCCTTTGCGCGCCGGCTCGCGCACGCTGCGGATATGGGCGTGCAAGTACTTGCCGTACCCTGGCGGTAGCTGCTGCTCCTGCTCCTGCTGCTGCCGCTGCTGCTGCTGGTCCTGTTGCTGCCGCTGTTGCTGCCCCGGGCCGGTGCCGGCAGCGTCGCCGCCGTCCTGCAGCAGGATAGGCACGGACGTGGGGGCGATGGGACCGGCGGCGCGGCAAAACACCCGGAAACAAAGAGCGTCGCACGAGCCCCGCGGTTTCGCTGTGCGCTTGGCTCAGCACCCCGACAGCCACGTGTGCCTGGCGGGCCTGCTCCCCGCGGCTGCCCCTGCGCCCTCTGGCCGCGAGTACCCCGCCACCGCAGGTGGGCAGGGCCCCTTCCCCCTGGCGGCTGCACAGACCGCCACCGCCGCTGCCCGCCCCGGTCGGTCGCCAACGCGCGGCACCGCCCCCGTCAAGCGGCATGCGTCCCGGCGGCCAGGCCGGCCGCGGGGCTGACGTCACATAGAAGCAGGCCGCGCGCGCCTCGCCTCACCTCGTCTATCATGGAAGCGAGCCACAGGTACAGGAACATGAGGCCGATGTAGGTAGCCACCACGAAAAAGAACACCTCAACAAGCTCTGGGGTGGCGGCGCCTTCCGCAAAATCGGGGTCCAGGGACAGCGGCGCGAGCCCCTCCGCCGCGGCCGCCGAGCCGGCGGGCAGCAGCGCCGCGAGCGCGGCGGCCGCGGAGGCGGCGGCGGAGAGGGCGGCGCGCGCGGCGCGGCGGGGCAGCCTGCTGGGGGTGGAAGGGAGTGAGGGGAGGGGGGTGCGTAGGGCAGCTGCAGCGGGGCCGTCCTGCCTGCACGCATGTGTGATTGTATTGTTTCAAATAAAAAGGCGCTCCTTTCAGGTATGTCTCCTGCACCGCCTTGCAAGAATTCTTTCAGGCGCCACCGAGCAAAAAAGCGCGGGCGGCCATGGAAGCATCCGATTGCAAGCGTCTGCCAGCACAGCACAGGCATCGCCACATCAGCCGTCCGCCGTCTGGCGAGCCTCACCTAAACGGCGGTGGGTCCAACTGCTGCTTGGAGGACGCACTGTCACGACCGACCTCGCGGCCCTCGCATGCGCCGCGCCCGCTGCGATGCTGTGCGGCGCTCACGCGCACAAAGCGCCTGGACGGTGGAGTCGGCCGGCGAGCGTCAGCCGGTATGCTTTCGAAATCAGGAAATTCCTTCCTTCATGCGGGATTCGCGTCGCACCTGAGAGATGGGAATCTGGCGGAGCCCGGCCCGAGACGATGAAAGCCCGCATGGCGCGCCGTGCACGCTGCCTCCATCTTGTACCTCATGAATCAATTGACGCTAAATTCGATAATATACATAGCGAATCCCTAGATCACACGGGAGTACTTTCGTCACTACGTAGCTCATCACTCACACCCAACGCTGTGCGAGTGTATCTCAGGGGCGCATCAACAGGAGACTCACTCAAATTGACTCAGTAATATTTAGCTGTTGCGAGCGGTTGACGGCTGAGCTGGTTGCCCGGATCACGGCAAAGCCATCCTTGGAAATCAAAACCCAAACAGGAAGTCTGTAGGTGTCTGCTGAGGCTAGTGCGACCGCCGCGGCGACGTCAAGCTCTGCAATGCGCGTTGTAGAGCGCGTGCTGCAGCAGCACAACTGGCTGCTGCGCCGCTGCTTTGGCGGCTGCGGCGGCGATGCAGCGGCGCTCGGTGGCACTGCTGCAGCCGACTGCCGCTTGGCACAAGCTTGCTTGCCAGTGCGGCAAGCCTACCACAGCGGGAGGTCGGCAGGAGTGTGGTTGGCACGCACGACTGAGCACTACTCATCTTTGTCAACCAGCTGCAGTTTTGCCAGCAGCGCGCAGGCTGGCGCGACGCCCAGGGCTCCAGATCGCGAAGACAGCCGGAGCAGCCGTCAGGCTGACGGCGGGGGCAGCAGCTCGGCAGTCGGCTTCGCAAAGGGCAGCAGCGGCGGCGGAGACGCCCTCATGGGGGGCGGCGGGCGCGAATTGAGGCTGGAGCGGCTGCAGCGCGCGGCCCCGGCGGACGACCTGCTGCGCGGCATAAAGGTGAACAGCTGGACCCGCCTGCGCCCTGGCTCGGACGGCGATTCCACACCCAGCATGCCGCGTCCCGCACACACGATTAATTATTTGACTCGGTGCCGTTGGACGGAACAGCTGTTTGTTGTCTTTTATGCTTGTCACGCCCCGTCTCCCAAGAATTGCTTCTGCACCTGCTGCCCCCGTCCACCCCCAGAAACCAACCCACACTCTCCTTGACACCCGCGTCCGCACACCCCCACCCCCACACGCACGTGCGCCCCCAGTTCGCATCCACCTTGCTTGATTTGGAGGATCTGCTGGATGCAAACCTGCGCAACCTCACGTTCGTACACCTGGGGGCGGCCTGTCTCAAGACCGCAGAGCTCGCCGGGGGCGGCCGCCGCGGCGCGCCGCGCGGCGG